GTGTGTTGTTGGTGTGTTGTTGGTGTGTTGTTGGTGTGTTGTTGGTGTGTTGTTGGTGTGTTGTTGGTGTGTTGTTGGTGTGTTGTTGGTGTGTTGTTGGTGTGTTGTTGGTGTGTGTGTGTGTGTGTGTGTGTGTGTGTGTGTGTGTGTGTGTGTGTGTGTGTGTGTGTGTGTGTGTGTGTGTGTGTGTGTGTGTGTTTGTTTGTTTGTTTGTTTGTTTGTTTGTTTGTTTGTTTTTGTTTCTTTGCGCGGGCGTGTTAACGTGCGACCAACTACGCTGGCGCAGCCAGCGAGCTAAGCTAGTCCCTGGCAGTCATTTGAGAAGGCGCATGACTGGCAGCATGCGGGTTTCATGCAAAACCACACCTCGCACACCTTCTCCTAACGCCCCAAGGCCGCCCCACGCCACCACCCCGTCGCAGCGAGGCGCAGCTTGGCGGCCACGGAGTACTGTGTCGACGTTTTCAGCAATGCGGCGGGCTGCGCTGCCGCCGCCCGGTACTCCGAGACCGTCAGCCGGTCCTCATTCAGCACATGGCCGGAGTGCGAAAACAACGGTCTCACCAGAATAGTTGCACAAACCACTGCGAAATTCTGAAACATATGTTAGTTGCTCATGACTGGACCTGCCCAGAAGTGAAATAACGCCCGACAACACCAAAAGGCCAACTTGTCTTGGACAAGTTGGCCTCACAAGATGTGCGTTTTCAATCACACTTCGGACGTCGAAGTGGGGCGTAGGGGCAAACGCAGCAAGCACACGTTCTTCCGGGCCGCCGCCCGGCCACGCCAGTGCTTCATGTCGGTGAGGGCCACGCGCTGCTTGGCCTGCACGAAGTTCCCGGTCTCCGGGCTCAGACGGCCGGGCAGCGCCTGCCAAACGTTGAGGATGGCGCTGGCCTAAGTCAACTGAGTCAACGGAAACACCTCGTGCGAGATGCGCAACAGCACGCCGGATCGGCCGCAATCCGCCCGCGCCTTTTCGTACAGCTTGAAAGTCTTCTTCATGGTGCTGCGGCTGGCTCCGGACTTGCTGATCTCGGGGGCGGCCTCCAGCTCCTCAGTCACGCCCAGGGCCATCGACTTCAGATCCTCCGCGGCCGCCTTCACCGCCAAGTCTGCGGCCTCTGCAACATTACTTGCAAGACCTGTGCTACAAGCGAAACGAGATCCCAAGCAACCAACACGAACCCCCTTGACGCTCAAGGCTCATACCGCGCCACTGCGAGAGCCAGTTCGAAGTCCCCACCGAGCCGCAGCATGAAAGTCCGTAAAGGGCTCCGTTCGATGTAAACACTCCAACGTGAGAAAAGCCCACAGAGGCACGCCAGTCCAGGGTTCGCACACACTCGAAACATACCCGCTTTCCTCTGCGAGCTCAAGTGAAACGCGCTGCGAAAGTTTGGGGCCGCCTCGCACGGAACGACGCCACGCAGGCTGCGAACCTTAACCTCACCCTGCCCCACTCTTGCCGAAAGAACCCCTGTACACACATACTGCGCAGGGCAAAAGAAATGTGCTGCACATGTATAGCCATGTCTAAGAACACTTGGCCCTCTCCGGCCTCCTTCTCTTCCGCGCCTGCAGCTTTGCACTTCTGCTGCTGCCCGAAGGGCGCCAAAATGCTCGGGGATGCGCTCTCCTCGACCTCCCGAGCTTCTGCGCAACTCCCAGCAAAGAAAACACAACCGTTCATTCCGCAAGCCAAAGGGGCAGCTTGCGCCCAACCTTCGCTTTGCGCCGGTGCCTCCAAGCCGAAGCACGGAAACACAAATTAGGTTTCGGCCGCCTTCTGGCAGAAAGGCGCGGGCCCGCAAACGTCCTTGTCTGGGTCGTAGAAGCACCGGAAGGCGCACTTGCTGCTCTTGCCCATGCAGGAGGCCTCGCCCAACATGGCATCGATCAGGACGCTCAGCTCCCGGTCCGGCTGGCTGAAGGCCTTGGCCTCGCTTCCGTCCATGTGAAGCTCCAGGCGTTGCGTACGCGGCTCGGGGTAAGCGGTCATCTCGTCCGCCTCGATGACCTTCTGGACGCCTTTGCTGTTGAAGAAGTAGAGCTGGCCGTGACCCTGGTAGACCACATGCCCCACCGAGCGGCCGCGCCAATTGGACTTGGTTTCGCCCACGGCGGAGTTGTGGTCAGCCCGGAAGTACAAGGCCTCATCCTTTGCGTACTTGGTGTTGCCCCACTTGCCGCCTTCATAGGCTTGCCACCCGACAATGCTGACAGTGTCCATTCCATGAACCTCCTTGATCACCGCCGCGCCGTCTGGCATCAGCCGATACTTTGTGTCCAGACCATCAATCTCTACATACTTCGGTGGCTCATGGGCGGACGTGTTGCCAGCAACATATCTGAAGGTAATTGTTGAATCCGACCATAATAGCGATGACCTTGGCCCACAAGCACGCCTCCTTGCGTTTGACCCTGCCAGACAAACAGACAGACAGAAAGACAGTCAGACAGACAGACAGACAGGCAGAGAGAGAGAGAGAGAGAGAAAAAAGAGAGAGAGACAGAGAGAGAGACAGATGGACAGACAGACAGACACACGGACACGCAAACAGACAGACACACAGGGAAGAAGAGAGGAAGAGAGGAATAGAGAAAGAGAGAAAGAGAGAGCAAAAAGAAAGAAAGACGGAAAGAGGGACAGAGAGAAGAAAAAAAAAGAGAGAAAGAGAGAAAAAGAGAAGGAGAAAGATAGAAGATGGAAAGAGGGGAAGAGACAAAGAAGGAAGCAAAAAGAGAGAAGCAGAAAAAGAGAGACAGAAAGAAAGAAAGAAAGACAGAAAGACAGACAGAAAGAAAGAAAGAAAGAAAGAAAGAAAGAACGAAAGCAAGAAAGAAAGAGACAAGAGGACAAAAACATACACAAAGACAGACAAAGAGACAGAGAAAGAGAGAGAGAGAGAGAGAGAGACAGAAACAAAGAAACAAAAACAAAGGGACAAAGAAACAAAGCGGCAAAGAGACAAAGAGACAAGGAGAATTAGAGGTGGGACAGAGAGGGACAAGCAGAATAGGAGTCCGCCGCCACATGAGGCCGGCGTCGGCGTTGGTGCCCGCGCGACCCTCTGCGGAGATCGTGCGTGTCGAAGCGCTCTCGCTGTGGCGCTGTGCGAATTCTTCTTGGTCTGGGCGAACCATCTCCGGACATCGTGCATGTCGAAGCGCTCTCGCTCTGGCGCCTTGTTCCTCGCGAAATGGCCTTTGGAAGTTGTCTCGTGGTTTGCGCGGGTTCGATTCCCCCGTGGTCCGCGGCAGCTCCGGCTTGAAAATCGCAGCTTTTAAGTACAAACGTAGTACGCGGAGCGTGCTCCTGCAGCTCCGGCTAGAAAATCGAAACACGCGGAAAGACGCTTCTCTCCCACCTCTTCCCCGCCCCCTCTCTCCCCTGACTCGGCAATCCGAGCGACGCCTTCCCTGTGGCCCACATGGTCCGGACGGAGAAGGACCCGTCCTCGCGCACCGCCTCGGCGCGCTGGAAATCCTCACCAGCGCGGCCCAGCGTTGTGGCCTGGCGAGACAGCCCCTGCAAACCTCCTTGGCCAGCATAGCCTACACAACACAAAGCAGGGCGTAAAAACGTGGCCCGCAAGCATAACATAATAGAGAGCGCGAGGTAAGTATAATGTCAAATGCGGTCTTTTCATGCCGTGCACGATGCGACGGGCACTGCAAAGCGAAATTTCATCATATTCTCGCGCGAGTTCCCTGCCCAAGTATGCTCGCGCGAGTTTGCTCGAGCAAGTGTGCTCCTGCGAGTTTGCTTGCGCAAGTGCTCTCTGGAAATGTTCTTGAAACTTGCTCTGCGCACCACAAGTACTCTGCGAAGCTGCCCAGCGCATCTTAACTCTGCGCAAGTTGCTCTGCACAAGCGCGCGTGTTTTTGTGTGTCCTCTTCGATAACTGGTAATGCTTCGGTTTGCGCATTCCGCATCACCTCGAGACAGCTTCTCCAGACTCATCCGCGAGCACACGAAAGTAGCAAAAGTCCGCAGTTGTGGCACATCGACCACCCCGCATTGACCAAGCGGATCCGGCACCGGTTCTCGGACATCGACACCGACCCCTTGCGGGAACACCATACAGCACAGCTTTTGCACATTGAAGAGGATGTCATGTTTTGCAGAGAGGGCGCCCGCAGCGCCGCCCTAAAAATAACTTTAATCTCTCGCGCAGGGTTGCTGTTTCTTGCGCAGCTGCGCCCGCACAAGCTGTCTTGCACACGTGTTCCCGTGCAAGTGCGCTCGCGCAAGCTGTCTCGCGCACGCGTTCTCGCGCAAGTGTGCTCGTGCAAGTTGTCTCGCACGTGTTCTCGCGCAAGTGTGCTCGCGCAAGTTGTCTCGCGCGCCAGTTGTCTCGCACATTTGTGCTGGTGCAAGCGCGCTCGCGAAAGTGTGTCTTGCAGGCGCACACGTGCGAGAAGGCTCACACAAGTGTGTCCTCGCTCCGGAAAACTTCTGCCTGCAAGGAGCTGAGCTTGGCTCCGCGGTACATCTCACGTGCCGCAGACACCTCCCGCGCCGCCAGCAGAAAAATGAAGGCCTCAAGGCGAGCTTCTTCTCAAACACCGACAGCCGGCAGACAAACAACAGCACGCTTCTATGCGCCGGGAACCGCTACACCCGACACATCGCAAAACAAGTCAATCAAAGTGTCAGCAACATCTCCGACTTAGCTCAAACCAACCGAGGCGCCCAAGCCAGCTTCTGCCGCGTCGCACCGGAGCAGCCAGCCATGGCGAGTTTTGAGGGTTTCACAAACGACTTGCGTGAGATCTCGGGCAAAAGCTGCGGGCCTCAAGTCAAGGTTTTTAATTTTTGGGCTTCTTTTTTCAAAGCTCTCTCTCGAAAATTGTAAATCAACGGGGTCCCACAAAACTAGAAGGCCCTAATATTACAAGCCCTCCGGCTTTTGTTTACTCAGGGGGGCTTGTTGCTGGGGAGAACGCGGATTAGACCTGCGGCTTGCGTAACCGCCGTTGGCACCAACGTCCTGACGGGAAGCACAAAGCCTGGCAGGCCGCGCCGCCTCCTCGCCCTCGAACAACCCCCGCATCATAACACGCACAGGCTGCTTGCAGCCGGAGGCCCACGCAACCAACCCCAACATCCAGCAGAGCGTGTGCGTCACAGAGGAACGCGACAAATGTCACACTCATTGCGTTGGCTGGGGAAAATGCAGAGAAAAACAATAGCTAAGCAAACCCTGCCCGGTCCGGCCTTCCAGACTTGACCAAAGCAGCAGGCATGCGATGGTAACAGCGCTTTTTTCCTCTGGTAGCCAAAGAAATCGAACGTCTTGGTCCTGACACTGCGCGCACCCGCGCATCAAGCAGTCCACGCCAGGGAAAACAACAGGTAGTAGTTGCAGGAACTCGCCGCGCAGCCCAAAACAAAAACGGGCTTTGTCAGAAGTTGGCCATGAAGCCGCCAAACTGCGCCACAGTCATGGACCTGACAAGCCCTCCGCTTCACCGCCCACAATACTTCCTCTTCCTCCCTTCTCTCTCTCTCTCTCTCTCTCTCTCTCTCTCTCTCTCTCTCTCTCTCTGTCTCTCTGTCCCTCGCTCTTTCTCTCCTTGCATTTCTCTCTTAGTCTGTTTCTCCCTTTCTCTCGTTCTCTCTGTCTCTCTGTCTCTCTCGTTCTCTCTTTCTCTCTTTCTCTCTTTCTCTCTTTCTCTCTTTCTCTCTTTCTTTTTTTCTCTGTTTATCTCTTTCTCTCTCTCTCTCTTGGTCTCTTTCTCTCTTTCTCTCTTTCTTCTTGTCTCTCTTTCTCTCTTTCTCTCTTTCTTCTTCCCTATCTCGCTTTCTCTCGTTCTGTCTGTTCCTCTTTCCATATGTTCTTCTTTTTGCTATTTGTTTTGTTCTTTATTTCTTTCTTTCTATCTTTATTTCTTTCTTTTTTTTCTTTCTTTATTGTTTGCTTTATTTTTCTTTCTTTCTTTCTTTCTTTCTTTCTTTCTTTCTTTCTCTCTTTCGTTCTCTCTTTCTTTCTCTCTCTCTTTCTTTCTTTCTCTCTTTCTCTCTTTATTTCTTTATTTCTTTGTTTATTTTTCCTTCTTTTTCAATCTTTTGTTCTTTCGTTTCGTTTCGTTCCGTTCCGTTTCGTTCCGTTCCGTTGCGTTCCGTTCCGATATTTCTGTATTTCTTTCTTTCTTTATTTCTTTCTTTCTTTCTGTTTATCTTTCTGTGTATCTTTCTTTCTTTCTTTCTTGTTTTCTTTGTTTTCCTTTTTCCTTTCTTGGCTTTCTTTCTCTCTGTATCTTTCTTTCTTTCTTTCTTTCTTTCTTTCTTTCTTTCTTTCTTTCTTTCTTTCTTTCTTTCTTTCTTTCTTTCTTTCTTTCTTTCTTTCTTTCTTTCTTTCCTTCTTGTTTTCATTATTTCTTTCTTTCGTTCGTTCGCCTGTTCTTTCTTTTTCGGTCTTTCTCTTGCCCCGTGCTGAATGAGTGCAAGAAAGTGTGTGCAGGTTAGCGAGAGTAAGTGTGTGTCAGTTGAGTGAGTGAGAGTGTGAAGGGGGGGCTCCGGAGAACTCCGCCCTGAATGTTTGGGGGAATGTTGTTGGGGGGCGGGATGCTCGAACAATAACTGCAGGGGATAACTGCGAAAAAGGGCGGGTAGCTGTTGTTCGGCTTTGTGCCCTCTTTTAGTGGCTTCATCTGCTTTTCTAATCCTACCCCCCCCCCTCAACCCCCCTCGCTTCTTTACAAGCCTGTTGTTCGGCTTTGTGATCTGGGCTTGTAACCACAAACTTTCTAGTAGTGTCTCCCTTCTTCCATTGGCTCCCCAAGGCGTAAAACAATTGCATGGGACGCACGCATGGAAAATGCATACAGGATACACAACCACAGCATGTCGGTCGCATGTGAAAGTCAAACAGACATGCGTGCAACGTGCGCAACAACAGTTGCACGAGGTACATCGCACACTCAAATGCCACCAGAGGGTGTGGAAGCTGCATGCAGGATCATGCCGAATCATGCCTGCAAAATGCCCCCCCCCCCCCCAAAAAAAACAAAAACCGAAAAAGCAGACAAACAACCCCGCTCCCTTTAGCCTGCGGAGCCCTCACCCCCCAAACCTAAAACAACCCCCGGGTGTTGGGCGGGTATAAGCCTGAACCAACCCCAACCCTAAACACCCAAGTAGCCAACCAAACCAACTCAACCCAGCGTAAACCCACCATGACAACCCTCCAAATGGAACCCACACCGAACCAACACATACCACACAAGCCACCAACCCCCCACCCCGAACCTATCCTAAACCCACCCCACGAACCAACCCTGCGAAGGGTGCGAGCACAGGGGGTCTGCGGAGCTGCGATGGCGTGCTGCGCCGCGGAAAGCGTTAGTTTCGAAACAATCATTTTCGTGGACACAACAAACACTCTGACGAAACTAGAGTTTGCGCCCAGAGAAACAAACTCACAGCCCGAGATCGCGACATGTTTATATTCAGCGCTGGAACGGTAGTTTGTCTGGAAAGCTAGTTTCGGTGTGCGAAACTAAACTTCTACCTCTGAGTTTCCTTTCAGAATTTCCCAGGAAACGAACAAACTAAACTCTCCGACGAAACGCTTGTTTCCCAAACTAGCCGTTCTAGGGTTTCAAACAAGTTTCTCCAGGCAAAACAAACTTTCACAGGAAGAATTTGTTTTCGAGAGGAAACAAATCTCTTTCACACCGGAAGCGTTTGTTTCTGCATTGGAGACTAACATATCCGCGCATGCGACAAAAGTTTAGAAGCATGACCTCAGAAGACATACCTATTGTCCAGAGAAGCAAAGCTTCCGGAAACGGCCATAAGTTTGTTTATCGTCTTGAAACAAACTTTAGGCCGAGCCAATAGTTGGTTCTTTCAATACTAACAAAGTAGTGCCAGCAAACTTCATGTGGGGCCTTGGCTTGTGGGGGCCTTCTGCCCTCCAGACAAAAACTTGAAGCCACGGGAAAACACAGGAAAAACACACCAAAAAAACACCCAGATTCCAAACCTGCCCAAGCGCCCAAAGTCGACGCTGGCTCAGCGCGTCTCAAGTACATGCCGACGCGGGAAAAAACGGGAACGAGTGGGACAAAACAAGCTGACGCGAGTGCATGTGGGCGCATGTGGGCACATGTGGGCGCCGGCAAAAGCGCCCACAAGCCACAAAAGCGCCCACAAGCCCAGAAAGAGCGCCCGCCCACAACCGCCCACACACGCCCACCATCCCAGCAAAACCGCCCACCAGCAAGAGCGCACAAGCGCCCACAAGCCCAGCAAAAGCGCCCACAACCCCAAGAGAGCCCACAAGCGCCCACAAGCCCAGCAAAAGCGCCCACAAGGATAACAAGAGCGCCCACAAGCGCCCATAAGCAAAATCCCTTAGCCAAAAGCGCTTACAAGCCCAGCAAAAGCGCGCACAAGCCCAGCAAGCCCCTACAGGCTCAGCAAAAGCGCTTTTGCTGGGCTTGTGGGCGCTTTTACCGGGCTTGTAAGACTTGGGCGCTTGTGGGCGCTTGGGATTTTGTGGGCGCTTGGGCTTTTGTGGGCGCTTGGGCGTGGGCTTGTGGGCGCTTCTGGGGTTTGGGCGCTCTGGCTTGTGGGCGCTTTTGCTGGGCTTGTGGGCGCTTGTGGACTTGTGTGTCGAAAACGGCAAAAGACGGGGGAAAGAAAAGGGCTGACGCAAGTGCATGTGGGCGCATGTGGGCGCACGTGGGCGCATGTGGGCGCCACAAACCCACAAGCCCAGCAAAAGCGCCCAGCCCCACAATCCCAGCAAAAGCGCCCACAAGCCCAGCAAGAGCAGGCCAGCAAAAGCGCCCACCCACAAGTGCTGAGCCCAGCAAAAGCGCCCACAGCCCAGCAGAAGCGCTTAGAAGCCCAGCAAGGGCGCTCACAAGCGCCCACAACCCCAGCAAGAGCAAAAGTGCGCACAACCACAAGCACTCAGAAGCACACAAACACTCACAAACACTCACACACACACTCACAGACACGCGCACACACACACACACACTCACAAGCACTCACAAACACTCACAAACGCTCACAAGCTCTCACAATCACTCACAAACACTCACACTCACAAACACTCACAAACACTCACAAACTCACAAACACTCACAATCACTCACAAACACTCACAAACACTAACAAATACTCACAAACACTCACAAACACTCACAAGCACGCACGCGCTCACTCGCTCACTTGCTCACTCGCTCACTCGCTCACTCGGCCACTCGCTCTCTCACTCACGCACTCACGTGCTCACGCAGTCACGCAGTCACGCAGTCACGTAGTCACGCCGTCACGCACTCTCAACGCACGCACGCACTCTCTCTCTCTCTCTCTCTCTCTCCCTCTCTCTCTCACTCTCTCACTCACTCACTCACTCACTCACTCACTCACTCGCTCACTCACTCACTCACTCGCTCACTCGCTCCATCACTCGCTCGCTCGCTCGCTCACTCACTCACTCACTCACTCACTCACTCACTCACTCACTCACTCAATCAAACACGCACTTCACTCCCTCTCTCTCTCTCTCCCTCCCCTCCCTCCCTTCCTCCCTCTCCGCCCTCCCTCCCTCTCTCCCTTCCCCCTGCCAGCTGTTTCTTGCACACTGATTCACGTACGCAGCGTGTGCGCGCACGGACACACAAGGCGCTGAAGTTTTACGTGCGCCTGGGTACTCACAAAAGTAGCTGGAGGTCATCCACAAACAAGCCTCCGGAGTCGCTAACACCCACAAACTCCAGACAGAGAGGGAGAGAGAGAGACAGGACAGAGAGAAAGAGCGCACTACACCGCCCACGACGCCCAGAAAGATGCGCCCACAAGCCCAAGAACACC